CCCAGCCGCGGGCGAAACTTAAGGCGGGGCGCGCGCGGAGGCGGGGCGCGGGGAGGAGCGGGGCCTCGTTAAACACGTGCGTCGGGAGGAGGTGGGCACCTGCGGCAGGCTCTGCTCTCGGCTCACGCTCCGCCGGGCAGCTGCTCCCGGAAGCAGGAGGAGTCGGGGGTGTCTTGTGTTGGCTGGAGATGACAGGACTGGCCCGGGGACCCCAGGAGAGCCAAGGTGGATTTTCCCAATCAAAGGGTAAGCGGTGGGCTGCGGATGAACCCACCCACCGGCCTTGCGCAGGAGAACCAGGAGGCAGGCCGGCTGCTTGCAGGAGGATTTATGGTCCCAGACACCTTGGGGAGGAGTTCTACTCTGCCCTGAAGGGTCAGTATGAGTCAGAATCCAGGGGAAGGCGGTGGATTTTTATTTTTTTTTATTCATTTATTTTTCTGGTAGCTCCTCGAATGCACTGGGCAAATTTGCAGCGCTGCTCACAGTCCCTGCAAAATTCTCCATTTAGCATCGTGCTCTCTCCTTCCCATCTGACTCCGGGATGGGAGAGATGTAGACTTGGTGGGCGAGTGTCCGTTGAAAAGGCCAAAAGAGTGGCTGGGTGTTCGATCCAGATTCCAACATCATTCGTCCATGAGGTGAACAACCTCCTGAAGCTTCTCGGTAAAAGTGACCCCTGAGAGGCAAAGCGCAGCTAAAGACAAACAACGTGGGGGAACTGTCTGGTCTCAAAACCTAGCACACAGTCTGGGAGTCAAAATAAAGGCAGTTCGCCTAAGCTAACCTCCACTACCATATGGATAAGCCATAAGGGTGCTTCAAACAGCAAGTGAATCACAAGATGTGCCTCATCAGTCAACTAGATAACAACCCCCACCCCCCACCATGTCACTCGTCATTCGCTGCCAGCCCACCCAGCCCATTTCCAGGTGGCTTTCAGCTACAGACCTCGAGCTGGTTCCAGCCTGCACCCCAGAGCATGTGCCAAGAATGCCACCCCGACCTCCAGCTGACTCGAGAACATGAAGAGTCAGGTCAAGGCACTAAACTGTGCCAGGGCTATTACATCTGTGCCACATGGGCCCATTTCAGAAGTGTGGCCTCCCTTGGCTGCTTCCTGTCAAACTACAGCTCTGCCCCTCCCATGAAGCATGAAATGTCTAAGTTCCTCTTTTCCAGAAGGGCTTTGAGAGAGATCTCCCTGTCTCTTTACTTGTTACAATAAACATTTTGCTTCCCTCACCTGCTTGCCTCTCAAACGGGAAACTCGCGCAGCAGAAGCCAAGCTAAATGACTGAGAACTATGAAAAATTAGACACTCGTATATATCAAAAGATTTCATCAGAAGAGTTGAAAGATTGCATGGCATAATGGGCAAGGGACTAATCTCTGCGATTTATAGACAATTCCAACACCCGAACAAGGAAAACACAAATAATCCAATTTAAAAAGGACAATGGGCATGAATGGACACTACACCAAAGAAGGCACTCAAGTGGACAATAAGCATATGAAGAAATGTGATCACAGGTCATTTCAAATACAACTCTTTAAAAGGCAATTTATACATGGAAGTGTATGATATGTGAATACTTTATCAAGAAAACTACTAAATATAGATATATAAGAGAACCCAAACTTGATCAATGGTTACCAGGGATGAAGGAGAAAGAGTTGTTGCTTAGGGGGCAGTGAGTTCATGTTAATGGTGGTGGAATAATTTGGAAAAGGACATCAATCATGGTTGTACAACAAGAAGAGTATAACCAATATCTCTGAATTATACATGTAGAAGTGGTGGGACGGGAGCATTCTGTTGTGTATATTTTTGCCACAATTAGGAAAAAAATTAACTATGAATCTAAGGAAGAAGAAAGCGTTCTAGAACTGACTGTGGTGACAACTGTACAACTCTTCTTGATATGATTGAGTTATTGAATTGTATGTCATGTGGATGAAGTAATAATAAAACTGTTTTTTAAAATTAACAATAAATATATACATAAGTTGGGGGGGACCCCGATCATAAGCCATTTGAGATACAAATCCAAACAATGAGATATCATCGCACTCTAGCCTTACTAGCAAAGTTCAAAAAATCAAAAAACAAGAAATGTTGGCAGGGATGTGGAAAATTGGAATCCTCATCACTGCTAGTAGCACTGTAAAAGGGGGCAACGCCTATAGGAAGCAGTAGGGCGCTTCTCTAAAAAGGTGGAAATAGAAATACCATATGAGGAACTGATGTGAGGTCATATCATACCTCTTCTGGCTACAAAAGGGAGAAGGAGACGCCAATGCTGTATCTGCCCCAGGCTGATCCCGGTGAGGCGGAGGCCTCCACCCTCCAGCTCCGTTTATTCTGACCCCAGCTATCCCTCCCATGGCATTCTACTTGTCAAGAAAACACTGCAATGGCCACACGGAGTGTCCAGATAATACTCATGAGTATAGGGGTTAATTAAGGAAGTGAACAGGTTACAAGTCAGGATCAGAAAACATTAAGTCCTTTGTCCACAGTGCCTCTCTCAGCCATGCCAAAAGGCACATCAATTTCTCTGGTGCTCAGCCTCTCAGCCGCAGTCCTGTGGCTCCTGCCCTGCTCAGGCATGTGCTCCGAAGACTCTTTAGGAGTGGTAAATGCCCAAAGGGCACCCCTCTCTGCATGCCAGTCTCCTGCCCAAAGGCACTCCACCGCCGTGCGCAATTCAATGGGCCCGAAAGTCAGCTGTTCGGTCTCCTGGTCTCTGCGGCTGCCCTAGCTCCTGCTCCACGGCCTCTCCTACCACCCCTGTCCACACAGGACTCCTGGACAAGCATAGCTTGAACAAATTGTGGGATTCTCCCTGTTCCTACTTTGACATGGCCTCATCTTTCTACCCAGCGGGAAGGCAAAGCTGGCCAAACCCCGAATTAGAGTCCTCTACACATTATTTGCACTGAGTGGGAATGAGAAATAATAAAGTAAAGCCAGAGCAAGCCTATTCCCTTCACCACATCCTATGACCCAGCAATCCCTCAACTTGGTATATATCCCAGAGCAATAAGAGCTTCGATACACATAGATACATACTTACCCATCTTCACTGCTGAACTATTCTCAATAGCAAAGAGAGGAGAAAACTTAAATGCCTATCAATAGAATAAAGGAACCATGTTACATACACCCAATGCAGTCCTACACAACACTAAAGATTAAAGACTAATCTGTGAAACGCCTCATAGCATAGATGAACCTTGTGCTGAGTGGATTCGTCCATCACCAAAAAGGGAAAATGCTGTATGAAACCACTGTGGTGCCGGGTCAAGAAAAGGTTCTCCTTCAAAATGGATCATTCTTTGATAGTAATAACGAAGAGTGAGGGGGAAAAGGAACTTAAGTTACTGGCTAGAGGGCCAACACATTGAATTAAGTAAAGGGGAGGGCAATATTCAACAAAAGGGAGGTTGATGACGAGTGATGGAAGCAGAAGACGACACTGGGAAGAGTCTACAAGTTAAAGGCAACAGCGGTGAACACTGTTACATGAACAACCCTGCAGTACTGGTGATCTCTGAGTAAATGCATGGAGGAGATGTGTGGATAGACATGCAGGCTGAATAGGTATGAGAGGCAGATTAGCGGTGTACCTACAAATATATATAGTTTGGGAGAGGACAGTTTTGCACGTGCACTTACCTTGGCTCAAATTTATCCATCAGTGGGATAACGCATCGAGGGAGCAAAGCTATAAAAAGTTCTTAGTCATAACCAGGGACCTTAAGGGAATGAGTCAGTGGCCCTGGGGGCTTAGGACCATAGTTTCAGGAGTCCCCCAGGTCAGTTGCCATAACATGGGTAACAAAGACAGTGTTGTGCATCCTACTTTAGTGAGTAGCGACTAGCGCCTTCAGGCCTCCTGGGCAGTCATCTAAGGTACAACCATACATCTCTCCCTGTCTGGAGGAATGAGGCAATGAAAATGGAAGACACATGGAGACATGAGTCCAGTGGCCGACTAGCAAGCTTGGGTAGACTAGAACCACATCCTGGTTTGGAGTGACTCTTACTTAGAGCACCTACTCTTTGCACAGAGGGACATGAGGGAAATCGTTGTTGATTGCGTCTAACCCTGGTTTGCTAACGGTTCATTGATATGATTCCGCTGGTTATAGAACTGGAAGAAAAAAACTTAAGAGTGAACCCAA